TACGTTTCTCAAAAATAAAATATTAATTGATATTTTATTATACATCGTTAATTTCATAATATTGAATTAAGTTTACTCTTTTAAATTTAAATTCAAGTTTTTTTAAAATATATCAATTTTCTTATAGATTCACGATAGATTGTTAAGATACTTGTTTGATTGATAGTGCAAATATATACTCTTATTCAAGACAAAAAAAATATTTTTTGAACATAACATTAGCAGGAAATAATGTTAATACGATATCAGGTGTATCGAATATCGTTGAAAGCTCGAAAGAGCTTGTATTATTTACCAAATAATACAAAATTATAAAATGATGATACACTTTATTCTAGCAAATTCAAAGAAATTTGCTAGTTTTAAAGATATTCGCTACAATTGATATTACATTAAGATGATGCAAGAAATAATGTTGACTATTTTTGCATAACTTCTTTTGTACCTGACCAGAAGCAGATAAAAGAAAAATTTCATACACTCCCATCTACTATGCATTATACATTTATAAAAATGGTTGAATCAAATATTATCCCGAATCAGAAGTTCGTTGATTCAAAAAAATTTATACTTTATCATGATAGCTATAATGATATGTCGAATAAAACAACTTACATGGACTTCTTTTAAAGAACCAAAAGATTCTTTTACTTAATGTTTATCCATGTGTAGCTTGTTCGCAAGGCAAGTTAGTTATTAGGTCTTCGGCTACAAATGTCAATATTGAATCTCCAACTTTCTTGGAAAGAATTCATAGAGTTATATATTCCAATACACCCACCATGTGGATCATTTCGTTATTTTATGATATTAATTGATTCTTCTATTAGATGGTCACGTGTTTGCATACTTTCCACTAGGAATGTAGATTTTGCTAGACTACTTGCTCAAATCATAAAATTATGAGCGCAATTCCCCAATTACTTACTCAAGACTATTCGTCTTGACAATGCTGGTGAATTTAGATGACAAACATTCGATGATTATTGTATGTCAATTGGAATTGTTATTGAACATTTAGTTGCATCAGACTAGCTGTATAATATCAATATTCACATTTGCAATTTGCATTTGGTCATGAACCTAATATTTCTCACCTACGGGTTTTGGTTGTACTATTCAAGTTCCTATTTCACCCCCACAACGTACTAAAATGGATCCCTAATGAAGACTTGAGATTTATGTGGATTTTGATTCACCATTTATTATTAGGTATCTTGAACTTTTAACAGGTGATTTATTTATTGGACGTTTTGCAGATTTTCATTTTGATGAAATGACTTTCCTAACTTTAGGATGGGAAAAACTAAATCCTGATAAATAAAGTAAATTTTTTTGGAATGAAACAACTATATCTCACTTTGATCCTCACAACAATTAATATGAGCAAGAGGTTGAAAAAATAAATCATTTGCAAAGAGTTGCAAATCAATT